GTAGAAGAATTCGATAATAGAATTACACACACGTTAGAAGAAAAGCAATGCAAAGTATTATTTGATCGCACTGTGCGTCGCCGTGACGACGGTCGTTTTATAGTTAATTTACCGTTTAAAGATAGTGCATTGAAGTCAGGCCCATCTTATGATAAAGTATTGCGGCGTTTTCTATCGTTAGAAAAACGATTCTATTTTAAAAACCGATTATGTGCAATTTTTAAAGGAATATGAGTTATTGGGTCATATGGAACTAGTTACAAATGTTAATTTTATTTAATCTAGTAAAAGTTATTATATTCCACATCACTCTGTGCGTAATTTCGTAAGTATAAATTTGTCTTAACAAGAGATATAGCAAAACTATATAAACAAGTATGGGCAACGCATCAAGATTTCCAACGTATTTTATAGCGTCCTGAGCCTGATCAGCCAATTCGGACTAATCGTTTAAAAACGGTGACGTATGGCACAGTGCCAGCTTCATTTTTGTCCACGGCTTGCCTAAACAAATTAGCTGAAGATAATGTGGATAAATACCCAGCAGCATCTGAGGCTATATTAAACAATTGTTGACGATTTTTTAGGCGGAAGTGATAGGTTCGCTCAATGAAAAATGTATTATATAAGGTAATGTGCGAGTCATATTTAATTTATGAAAAATTAACAACAGTACTAACGCGCGCTGAGGCTTGTCTTAACTCACAACTTATAACTCCTTTATCCAACGAACCTCTTGATTTATCTTATCTTTCTCCTGGTCATTTTTTAATTGGCGACTCCCTTATGGCAGTACCAGAACCAGAGTCCAACACTAAGCAATTAAATCGGTTGGATAGATGACAGCGCGTCACTCAATTATCGTTGAATTTATGGAAACGTTGGAGCAAAGAGTATCTTGGGCATTTGCAAGAGAGGGTAAAATGGGCCAAAGAGAAAGGGCCTCGCTTAAATGTTGGAACGGTTGTCTTGTTGCGTGACGACAACTTGCCCCCTCTGAAATGAAGTATTGGGCGTATCGTGTCCGTTCGAGAAGGAAGGGATGGAGTGGTGAGGTCGGCCTTTGTTCGAACTGTTAATGGAGAATATGAGCGAACTGTCCGCCAATTGTGCCCTTTACCGTTTGAAGATAATAACTCATCTCCAGAAGATTAATTCCAGTAGGTCGTTAAAAATTGTATAAATATGTTGTTATTATCTGTTTGTTGTCAATTTATTTTGAAAATTTATTTTTTACTGTCTATGATTTAGTAATATTTTATAGTACCTCTGTCTCATTTTGGTTTGATTTTTTAATTAATTTATGTGTTTTTATTTATTATTATTATTATTATTTTTTTTTTACACAAAATGATTATATTTGTAGTTGAAATATTACTATTACTTTAAATTATTTTTATCTTTATCAAATTAGTTATGTTTAGGGTTGTTAAAATGTATCTTAAACTTATACTTTATGTATTTTTATTCAATAAGTCATTTTGAAGTTTGTTATTTCAAGGCGGCCGGCGTGTTTAATCCATTTTTGTTGTTTTACTTTGTATGTAGTATAGTATGATAAGCGCGTTTGTCCAGTGCGTACCGGTTTCTTTTTATTGTAATATTGTAGTCGAGCGATGAACTCGTCATCGTAAAGGACGGCACGACGTGCACGCCAACATGTGTATACAAAATAAAGTAATATAAACTAAGTTAAAAGTTCAAGTTTTAATATCGTTATATTATTAGTTAAATAGTTAAAAGTAATCGTATTTTATACAGACCACTCTGAAAACGTAACAGATATGAACGAACATGTTCACACCGACGCGCACGATGTACGCGTCTTGTATTTTTTCGTCATTTTGTCATGACTTCTACCCCTAGCAAGTTTTCGAAAAATGACTCTCATTATAGACACTGACATTTTGATAAATGAGGTTCACTTAAGACCAAATTTGTGGAATTCAAGGGACGAAAGGTATAAGGACAGGGATATTAGAGCAGCANGTCGAAAGGTATAAGGACAGGGATATTAGAGCAGCAACCTTTAGAGCAGTAGCGCAATGTGTTGTAATGGGGTTCGATGCTATGAACAACAACGATCAAAAAGATGCAAGTGAGTATTTATGCGTGTATATTGTACACAGGCATTGTCCCCTATGGAGGCGGGCGGTCGCTCATCCCATTAAAATGTTTCCAATAAAATAAAATTATGTGTGCACATACAGGTAGGTAACAACAAACGATTATCTTAACGCATCAGGTTAGAGGACATAAAATGGGAGAATAATTGGAATATATCATTCTTTTTCATTTAATATTATTACCATTTGTTTTTAAGAGTGTTCCGAAACGTTACTTTGTACTGAAAATAATAACTTTTTTAAAAATGGACAAATAAAAACCATTTAGATTTTTTTTTTTTATTAAGTAAATTTTTGGACCCTTTACCTGCCCACAGGGAGGGATTCAAAATACCAATTTGGTATTAAAAGATAACTATTTCAATCTTACTTTTGAAAACGTTCTGGAAACACTCCGAGCTTCAAACATATGTTAAATTAAAGCTTTACCCTACAAACTACAAGTTAAATTTAAAAAAATTATCCCGCACCTTATCTAATCACCCTATAAATTTATAATACAAAATATTCAATATCAATTTCATACTATTTTAATTTCTATAATATTTATTTATTCGTGTATTACACATATAAATCATAAAACTAGTCATCATGATATTATTAAGGAATTAGGGTCAATGTTATTTTTGGTATAACCCAACAATTCCTTCTAAAAATTTAACTCAATCTACAGATATGCATCAATACGATTTTTATGATAGTGATTTTAATTACTTTCAGATATAATCTATACTTATCTCAACTATGTGGAGTCCCAGCTGTGTGAGTTATATTTAGCTTCGATGCGAAGCTGAGAAGGTATTGGTTTTACTAAGATGTGTGTTTTTTTTTT